TCCACGACTTTTTTGTTCTCTGTCTCCCTCTCTCCCTCTCTCTCTCTCTCTCTCTCTCTCTCTCTCTCTCTCTCTCTCTCTCTGTCCTTCTGGCTTCCAGGAAAGCAGCCTTTTTCCCCAAGGAACCACCAAGCTTTGGCGGAGGGCCTTGACAAGGCCAGGCCTTCTTTGCTGTTTATCTTCTTACATTCGGGTTCCACTAACATGATTATCGTGTCAAGTGCAACTTGTATCAATTGCGCCTGTTCCTGTCTCCTGGACAAGTCTGTCGGAGTCTCGGCTGTGGCCTCTTCAGCGCTTGGCGATTGTGATGTCGGCGTCACGGTGTCGGTAGATCGACATATGCACACGAATTTCAAGCCTTACAATAACATTCAGATGTACATGTCAATGTATTCTTCTGTATATCTGAATACATAAATATTACAAACACATGTACCTAAGTCTCGCAGCGTCGTGTGTCCGTATGTTTGTTTGCCCTTCCTGCCCGCCTGGCCGTCGGTCTGGCTGACTCGCTGGCTGGCTGGCTGCCTGCCTGTCTGTCTCTCTGTCTGTCTGTCGCTGGTACGTGTGCATCTATGTCTGTGTGTATGTACCTAGATCGTCCCAGGTGACTCCGTTTACGCCCCTACGGTTTTTCGGGTTCTTTTACGCCCCTTTGTTCCGGAGTTGCGAAGTTACGCTCTTTGGGGTTTTTAGGTGGTTTTGAGGGATGTATCGGATTTCAATGATTATCCTACAAAAGAATAGCAATTCCCGAGTGCCCACCTGCAATAGCCCAGACTGTGCGCTTCCAAGGCACTATCGCAGCATCTTACTCAGAACCCGAATGACCTACGTAAGTATCTACCTGATTCCACGTGTGGGTTTGTTTTTCGGGTTCAGATGTTGTGTGTCGTCTCTTTCTTCTCTCTATGTATGTATGCATGCATGTATATCTGCAGTGTATATGCATATCCCCCGGACACACATACGCACACCCCTGCACACACAGATATATGTGTATATTATATATATATACACATATATATATACACATATATATATATATACACAACATATATATACACATACACACACACACATATATATATATGTATACATACATACATATGCGGTATATATATATACACACATCTATCTATCTATCCATCCATCCATCTATCTATCTATCTATCTATCTATCTATCTATCTATATATATATATACATATATGTATGTATATTTGTATTCATTGCCGTTTTTCTACATGCACGCATATGCTATATTTATACGTATGCATAGGGTAGGAACATCTGTATGTATGCGTATATGTATATGCATGTGTATATGTATCTAAGGATGCAGGCTGCTGTCGCATATTTGCAACTGGCAGGTGCAGGGCACGCTCAGCAGACAGGACCTCGGCTTCTGAGTGGGATTATTGTAGCGCAGCCATCATCATGATCATCACCATGATCATCGTCATCGTCATCATCGGCATAGACGTAGGCATCAGCATCGGCATCAGCATCATCGGCATATGCATCAGCATCAGCATCATCATCAGCATCAGCATCAGTACCATCGGCATCGGCATTAGCATCAGCATCATCGGCATCGGCATTGGCATCGGCATCGGCAGCATCATCATCATCATCGTCGTCATCATCATCATCATCATCATAATCATCATCACCATCATCATCATCTTCTTCTTCGGATTGTTCTTCATCTTCATCTCCATCTTCCTCTTCGTCATCATTCTGACTCTTTGCTACGAATCGCCTTGTGATGATCGCTGAAGCTGCTGTAAGTTGCATTTGTATTATAAACGGTGCTGCCGTCGTTCTTGATGTCAATGCCGCAAGTTCTATGGAGAGCCTCCTAAGCACCTCGAGCCTGTGGACCCCGCTTCTGCCCGAGGCCAGAAGGCTCAGCAGGATGTCACGCATGCGTCCCTGAGGTGCAGTGTTCGGGTGTTGCATTGTAAGGTTTAGGGTTCAGGGTTCGTGTAGGCTCCCTTTTGGTAAGCTTTAGCTGGGGGACGAATCGATCCGCCTCTTTTCGCTTCGAGCTTCCAGGTGTTTGGTGTGCATAGACTTCTAACTGTTGCTTGCTCAAGCCCGACAGGCTCGCGTCTCAACACCCTGCAGACATCCGCAGACCCTAAATCGAGGGTCTGTGCCGTCTGACCTTGCCAGGGAGCGCGTGGAGTTCCTGGAGTCTTCGCTTGGGGACAATGCTGACAAGCACGGCAAGGACGGGGTTTCAGGGACCATCAGGGACCTCCCATTCAGCCAGCGCGGTCTTCGAATTTGTTTCAGCAGAGTCAGTCATTGAAAAGAAGGCAGCCCCAAGACAAGAGGCGGCTAGATTGGCGAGCCCTGATGTGCAGAAGTCGTCGGGAAAAAGCAGACACCCCGAGCGTTGAACAAGAGTCGAAGCTGCTCCGACCTCCCAAGCTCGAACCTAAGAAGCCCAGCCCCTCTCCCAATATGGAGTCCCGCACCAGGCGCTTGCCGAGCTCAAAGCGTCGCACGCCAAGATCCTCAGTGGCAAGGACAGCATCCGATGGGACTCCGAGTTTTGTCCTCTTTTTTGGTCTTTGGCTTTCTGGGCCAACTCCAGCATCGCGTCGGCTTTTTTTCGGGGCGGGCATCGAGACCTGAAAACCAAGGAGGAGCTCACACGACGAGGGCTCACGGTGGTGAGGTCGTACGATTGAGCAATTCTCGAGGGAAATACCGCATGGCATGGTGTGTGGTGTCATTGCAAGCGTACAGACATCCTCTGGCCTTCTTATTTGGAGTGAGGAGGTTAGAAGCTGCCTGCCCAAACAGGAAGCAGGAAATGAAGCAAGGCTGTGTTTGCATCCCTTGGATCGTTGAAGGGTTCTTCCCCCCAGGAGTCGATCCACGCGTCGCGTGCCTGGCACGTTAGCTGCAATGCCTTGAGATGCTCATAAGTCTGTGGCCGGCTCGTCACCGCGCTGCTTGTTACACAATGCCGGAACTGTATTGCGGTGAGTGCTGCAGTAGGATCACCCAGACAGCGGCAACGAGAAGTTAAAGTACTCGGTTGGTTGAGTCGAACCCTTATAGATTATAGAATACTTGTAGAATACTGTTGACTGATGCATTTATGTCGTACAGTGCACTTGGTGATGTCAGGTTGTCTGAGCGACTGCAGTACGTCGAGCAAACGATTGGCGATTCCTTGGCCAAGCATGCCCAGGACCAGAGAGATCTGCTATGCTCGGATGTTACTCTAGGAAGTCAAAATGAGAGTATCAGGAGCTGGCGGATGCCCGGGCGAAGCTGGGCGACATGCATGCGCGAGTGTCGCAGTGCGAGGCGAGGGGGCCACCAGCATGTGCTTGCAGCCGTCCGCGCGGCCTTGGTAGGTCCACGGGGAGCACATCGACTCGCTAAAGAAGTCGAATGCCACCATGGCCGGCAACAAGGCGAGGGTTTGGGACACGCGTCATTGCAAGGCGTACTTGGGCCACTAGGAAAGCCTTTTCCGTCCGCCAAAGCCTCCGACCCAGGCCAAGCTGGAAGAGAAGCTCGAGGAGCATCACGCCACGCTCAACGAGCGTGTGAATGCCCTCGAGAAGGAGAGCGGTCTGCGAGTTTTCGCTTGCCCCTCGCGGAGCCTCGTGGTCAGCTAGATTGGAAGTCCTCCCGTGGAAGCTTCCTTGACGGCTGCGCATCTGCAGGAGCTGGCTTCGACTGGGGCCAAGGTGGATGCTGCGCTTCTGGGCTGCAGGGTAGCTGGGGACTATGGAAAAGATGCACTGTCGTGAAAGACCTCTTGTAGTACCTGCATGCTTATGCTAGAGCTAGGGTTTTTCCGTTTGTCCTGCGCCGTTTCGTGGGCTTTTCCGGAGGCACAGCCGGGTTTCCGACGAGCGCACCGCGCGAGAGGCCGTGTCTTTTCGAGGATATTCGAGTTCCTCCCTGCGGCCTGTCTTTAACTTGCAGTGGGGTCGTGGGGTTTTCGCGTTTTTGCCATGAGATCAGTGAGCAGGCTCATGCCGCCTCTTTGGACACGCTGCACAAGGCTCATAACAGTCTGCAAAGTGCGGGCCCCAGGGTGTGCTTCACCTGCTTTGGCGTTATGCGTGACAAGCTACAAAAACAGTTCGGGATGGAAGCTGGTCTCATCCTCGCGAGCAGCGGAATGAAAGCTTTCCCACTGAGGCCAAAAAGCGCAGCAGGATGCCGTCCACGCGTCGCTGAGGCCATGGCTCATGGGAGCGTGGCAAGCGCGCAACATTGAGAACCGGCATCTGATCACCAGGGAGCGTGTGGAGTTCCTTGAGTCTTCCATCGGAGACAATGCGGACAAGCACGGCAAGGCCACTTTGTCTGTCCCGCAGCACGCTTGGACCTGCCGGACGCTGGAGAGGCGTTGGCCGAGCTTCGAGCGTCGCACGCGAAGCTTGTCACCGATTCCAAGAGCAAGGAGACGGCCCACTCGTCGTCCCTTGGCAAAGAGAAGCAGAGGTCCGAGGCAAGGATCTGGGACTCTTGCCGCCAAGAGCCTTTTTGGAGCCTTCACTGCCGAGGTTGACCGAGCGACTCCAGTACATCGAGCAGTTGCTGGGCGACTCTGCTTCCAAGCACGCTCAGGATGATGGGGTGTTCGGTGGAAAGCAGCTGACAGCCCATGGATCATGAACATTCAGCATGGCTTTGCAGGAGCTGGCAGATGCCAGAGCAAAGCTGGACGACATGCATGCTCGCGTTTCCAAGTGTGAGGTGCCTGAGCGGATGGCTTGAACTCTTCAAACCGTGGCATGAAGGTTTAAGAATTCGGGGGGCTTCGTTTGCAGGTGCAGGGAGAGCACATCGACTCGCTGAAGAAGGCCCAGAACTCCATGGCTGGCGGCAAGGTGCGGCGGCTCCCTTTCGCCCGCTGGGCTCCGAACAGCTGAGATTGCTGGGTCTGCGAGAGTGAGAAGTTCAATGTGCATGGCCATGGTGCGATGTTGAAGCTGCTAAGCTGCCTCAACGCACGAGATGTTCAAGCAAGCTGGCAGGCCGCCCTGGAAGAGCACCACGCCTCCCTGGCCGAGCGAGTCGGCTACCTGGAGAAGGCACCTTGCGACAAACCCGCCAAGTCTTTTTTTTTTTTTGCGAGGGTTTGGAGGCCCTGGCGCAGGGCGCAGGGTTGGTAAGAGATGCTTGCTTTTGGGTGTCGAGAGGCCCCTGCTCGCACGTGTCTCTGTGTGTGTGTGTGTGCGCGCGTGCGTGTCTGTGTCTCTGTGTGTGTGTGTGTGTCAGTCAAGGTCTATCTATCCCGCAAGGATGCTACCAAGTTCGAAATTTCCTTTGCAATCCCAGGCGCTGGGCGACTCTGCCGACCGACACAGTGCGGAGTTGGCCACCACCAGAAGCCACTTGTATCGAATAAGTTTGAACTTGAGTAATCTTGCGAGTGACAGTGAAAGTCCGAATGATACTGGTGCTGAGACACGGTGACTATACTTGCTAGTCGTGTGAACCGCAATACTAGCAGCTTGCATGAACGGATAAGAACCGTTTCTGCTGTAAGTGCTTGTCAACATATGATTAAAAGGACTGCTAGTCGCAGCACCAACAAGCGTCGTAATCAGCGTCGCTACGAAGAAGAACCTTCCGTCGTCTCAGGCAAGGTGGAATCGCTGCACAGCCGACTGGGAGTGGAACAGCAGGTTGGCGGTTTTCAGTTCCGGACTCGTCAGCCAAACCGGAGTCCCAGTGCAGAGTAGATGGAAGGTCTCCTTCCCTTAGCCCCACCTGCCGGCAGGAGCAAAGCCAGAATCGTGCCAAACACTACTCGCTGGAGGAGTGGAAAAGACACCCACCCTGCCCTTTGGGGACATCTCCCAGACTATGCCAAGATCGCAATCCTCGATTGTCGTTGTGATGGTTGTGGATATCATGCTTCCTTGCGTTCCTGTGGCGATTGTCTTCGTTCTAAAAAGTCTCCCCCCTTTCATGGGCTTCTTCTCGTTCTTCTTGTCACCATCCAGTAGGACGACTTTGCCTCTTGTGCAAAAATACAATAGTGTAGTTACATATATATATATATATATTTTTTTTTAATAAACAAATAAATAGATAAATAAATAAATAAATAAGTAAATAAATAAACAAATAAATAAATCAATATATATATATATATCCATGAGTACATATCTAAGCTCTAAATATCAGAATGCGTAATAGGAGCAACCAGCATCAGGAGAGGCTGAATTTCGTGGAGACTTACCTGGGTGAGTCCAAAGAGAAGCACGCGAAGCCCCCAGAGAAGCAGACGGGAATGTGATGGGGGCTTTTCTGGATCATATTTAGGGCTCTTTGGATTGACGTAAGGTTCTGGGGGTCCCGGAAAGGCCCGGCGCCCCGCCCGTTGTGCTTCTGCCACCACATCAACAAAAAAAGATTCATCAAGAGAGGAACCCCGAATGGAGAATGAGTGAGTCGTGGCATAGTTTTCCCAAACCCGGGGCCCAGGTGCAACGTCGCCAAGGCAAACAGGCCATCAGGCAAATCACCAAGCAGACTTGCCGAAACCTGCACAAACGCCAAAAAGGGAATGGCACGCCTTTTGCATTCCTTTGCCGCTCTTTTGTCGACCCCAGGGCTCCAGCTCGGACAGCCGCCTCGAAGGGCCGCTTGGATTTTTTCGCCCAGGGTCCAGGGCTGTGTCGTCTTTTGCTTCGGGACTCGGGGCCTTGATAAGACCCCTCGAGTCTCTCAGGCACAAGCAGGTAACAGCAGATTTATGTTGTTAGCTGTCGAAGTGTTGGTGGATCCTGGTGGTCTTTGTGTCGTGTGGGTGGAGAGCGTGGACTCTTCCTCGGCTGGGAAGTGTCGAGGCCAATAACATTGCATTGTGTGCACATTGCCAGGCTCAGCATCCCAAAACCTGGACGCCATGCCCCTCCCATGATCAACCGCTATGACGGTGATGATGATAGCGATGAAAAGGGTTCAGGGTCGTTCTGCGATCTTTGGCCGTCATTTTGTTACTCTATTGCTCTCCGGCCTCGTCTTCGAAAGCCCCTCCGAGGAAGCTGGAGGACCTGAGAACCCAGATCCATTCGGAGCGCAGCACGCGCACGCGCCAGGCGCGGGCAAGAAGTCTGGTTTGGGGAAGCCTACCCTGTAGGCTCATGGATTGCCGGACTTCCGACTTTGGGGGAGATTAAATTCGTTTTGGTCCCTAAGCCCTAAGCTTGGGTTCGAGGGCTCTTCGCCCGTAGTATCTTCCCAGCCGCCTGCAGGGCGAAGCCATCAGCGAGCACTTGGAGAGCGAAAAGCGGGCCCGGGAGGCAAGAGGTATGGATAGGCTTAGATGGTGTATATGTTACTATATTTGACTTGTTGCTATGCTGAAAGTGTCCTTCTTGCTTGGTTTCATGAACGATGCTTGAGCCCTGGTTGCGTGGCTTGGGTGTTCGGAACTGACGAGGAGTATCAAGTAGCCCAAAATCGATAATTCAGATTGTCATGTAGCGATCTCTGGATGCACCGTGCAGAATGTCCGGAGACCTCTCTTCTTCAAGAGGAGCTTCCTTGGATTGCACTATCCCGCGAGATCATTCTAAACTTGGCACATAATCGTAAGGCCCGTCCGGTCCCCAACCGCGGGGCCTGCATGGGCATTGGGATGTGGGCATCAGGGACAGAGGAGGAAAGGAAGAGAAACGCAACAGAGGGCTTGTTTTCCACTACGGCCCAACAACGTTGAACAAATCCTAGTCGGAAAGGCTTGCTCCGCCCCGACACTCACGTCCAATGTGGAACGAGTCCGACAAAGCAAAGCTGGAAGTTAAAGGTTCCTGCAAGCCCAATCCCCTTGTAGCGGATGAGGCGCTCGAGGAGGCCGTCGCCCACCACATGGCCAATCATAGGCAGACGATGGAGGCCTCATGCTGTCCCTGTACCTGCTGGTTGTAGCAACCGACAGTTTCAGCACATCCGCCGGGACTTCAGCCCTCGCATGTCGCAGTCCCACGAGAAGCGCGTGCAAGAGCAGTTTGGTCACGAGCGGATGGCTCGTGAGCGCCATGTGGAGCACGTAGAGGTGGGTCGTCCGGTTGCAGCATTAGCGATTCTGCAGCTGCACAAGCAAGCAGCCTGGTGCCATATCAGAGGGTAGAGTAAGAAGAGACCATCACAGGCGGCTGTTTGCAACGTGTGTAGTTGCAACTCTTTGCCGGCTGTGTGGACATTCGAACTTCCACGCGCAAGCAGGCGCTGGTGAAGCAGGAGAAGGACGCGAGGGGCCAGCACCACGAGATCCACACGGTGCCTCGGATCAAGGGACATCAGGGAGCATGGGCGGGACTACCGTGTTGATGAAGACGTTGGTGCATGGCAAGCTGCATCCTTGAATGTTCGGCCGTCCTCAAAAAGCGGGAGCTTCTGTCCTGCAGAACAAGCGGTTTTGCCCTGTCTGCACGAGGACCTGATCAGCAAAGAGAGGGCTGCCAGACAACAGATAGAGGACCTGGGACTGTGACACGTGACGCTTTGGTTCACGACTTCTTCTATTCGAATCGTTAGAAGAGGTACGCAGTTAGAAGGTTTGGGAAGAGGCTCCCCCAGCGGAACTGGCGCGCCGTTCTGAGGAGCTCCTCCAGAAGGAGACCCACGAGCGCAGCCGGCACCACGAGACCATCGGCGAGCGGGCGCCGCGCTGAGCTTCCTCGCCTCGGAGAGTCAAAGGTGGCCTCCTTTGCTTTTTCGCAGCTGAGGTGGACTCCTTGCAGCGAACGGTGGCTTTCCAGCTGGGTTTTTTGGGGGCGTTGAAGTGGGCTCTGAAGGGCTTTGCGGAAGTCTGCCCTCCGTCCCACATCTCTCGCATGCTTACTCTCAGCCATGCTAGCGGTCCCTGAGAGTGCTTGCTGTCCTGTGCATGGCAGGTAGGCATCTTCGACACTTTGATGCGCAAGGCGCGCTGAGCGGCTTCTGCTCGGGACTGGCAAAAGAGCTTCCGTTTCAAATGCACTGGATCTCGCAAAGCTGCTCCAAGATGCTTATACGTAGACTGTCAAGACTCCAGCCCCGAAAATTGGAACTTAAGAGTTCGCGATCTGCGGCAGGAGATCGAAGAGAGGGGACTGGAGATACAGCGTGTCTGGGCCTGCACCCAAGAAGCGCCGTGAAATGGATCTCAGCTGCTGGCATAGTCTGATGTTGAGCTGGCTTCAGCCAATCACTGCGCTGCTTGCTTCCGCTTGCCCTGCAAGTTGCAATTGTCGCTGCCGCAGATAGTCGAGCACAGTTTGACTGGGTGGTCAGGAGGCCATCGACGGCCACACTCATGACCTCTCGTCGAAGACGAAGGCCTGGCCCGACATCGCTGCAGTCGCTTTGTAGAAAGTGCATGCTCGGCTCGAGAGGCTCAGGTCTCCAGGCTGGTAGATCCGTCCAAGCGGGTAGCCTGCCGTTCAGGAAGGAAGCGACGTGGAGGAGATTGGCGAGGCACAAGTTGGTGACAATCCGCCACTGCCCGCCCCCCCTGCAGCTGTCACCACCTCCGTCACTCTTAAGAAACTCGGAGTGTGCCTCTTGCCGGGATCATGACCCTGGATCGACCCGGCCACGCCAGGTCGACGGCACGGAGATCTGCTTCAGGCCCACGGAGAAAATCCAGTGCAACACTAGCGCAGTGTCGACGACGAAGACGGCGGCATGGTGACCTTCCGACAAGTCCCAGAGTGGAAGCATGTTGAACTGGGTTCTTGTTAAAGAAACCAGACTATGTACTATAGAATACTATAGATTTCTATTTATGGTAACTCATATTGACTCCCTTAAACAAGAACCCCAGTGAAGCTGAGCCAGGCCGAACCGCTCCCGCTCCGGTCCCTCCCTGCCCGGCCTGGTCAGCAGCCCCTCCGTGCGGCCCGGAGCCCTGGAGTTGACTACAGACACATCGAGTACAACGTGGTCTGCTTGTGTGGTATTTCAATATTTCTGGGGGTCGGGAAGTTGCTCCCGGTTTAGTGCTTCCTTACGACATCCTTGAGTGCTTGTAGATACTCGGCGAACGGAACACGTGCATAGAGTCGCGTCCCACCGTTCACGAGGTCGGTGCAATCCGGAACGAGCACGCCTGTCATGGTCTACAAAGGGTATCCCCAGGCCCGGGCCGGTGCTGGTGCCTGCAAGCAAGTCCACGTAGGGTGGATGGCAGGTGAGGCAAGGCTCTCCGATACCCCAAGTCCTCCCGCCGCTTGTCAGCAAGGGATCTGTCGAAACAGCAGGACTCGCCAACCTCTTGAGCCCAGGACGGCTGCGCATGAGCGGATCACGGTGGCGCACGGCCCTCGGAACAGGGACCGGTGCCTTTTTTCTGGTCCACGTCGAAGTCGAAGGCCGTGTGCATCCCAGGACACGGACCTATCCCGCAGTGGCCGCGCCAGTGACAACGACGCAAACCTACTGCGTTGTGGCACGGAAGCACTGGATCCGAGTCTGCAGCGTGCCTTGTCGCATTCGGAATTCCTTGATTTCAGGCGAGCCCTCCGATTGTGGCTCCGATAACGGCGGCTGTTCCCATGGTCTCAGGAGGACTCCCAAGTTGATGCCTCCGAAAGTTCTTGTTCTTGCACACACGCACGCACGCACACGCACGCACACACGCACGCGCAC